CGAAATTTTATTACAACACCACTTAAAATCCCAAAATTTTGGTTTCACCACCCACTAACGGATTTTTGGATGGAAACCGTTAGTGGGACCCACTAGGGACACGTGTCAATTGTTTATTGGCTTAAAAAGAAAAATTAATAAAAAAAAAGAAAAATTAATAAAAAAAAAAGAAAAACTCCTAAACTCTAACCCAGCCACCAGCCCCACCACCGCCGACCGTCACTACACCGTCGGAGACCCCCACTGCCGTCGGATTCCTTTCCTCCACCGGCGAAACCACCGGCCGTCACCCCCACCAATATCAGCCCCCCCGTAAATCCCCTTCCCCCTTCCTTCTCCCCGAAAAATCACCCCCACCCACCACAACCCTCCGCGAAAACCACCTAGCCCCTTCGCCTCCTTCAGACCCACAACCAAACCCCAAGACCCGACGCGGACCACCACTCCTCCTCTTACCCACGACCCATGACCCTCCTTTTCTATCTCCTCTGAATCTCCGAATCAGAAAGTGATTTCGGTTCTGGTGCGTGGGGGCTAGGTGGTTTTCGCGGAGGGTTGTGGTGGGTGGGGGTGATTTTTCGGGGAGAAGGAAGGGGATTTACGGGGGGGCTGATGTTGGTGGGGGTAACGGCCGGTGGTTTCGCCGGTGAAGGAAGGGAATCCGACGGCAGTGGGGGTCTCCGGCGGTGTAGTGACAGTCGGCGGTGGTGGGACTGGTGGTTGGATTAGAGTGTTGGGGTTTTTCTTTTTTTTATTAATTTTTCTTTTTTTATTAATTTTTATTTTTAAGCCAATAAACAACTGACACGTGTCCCTAGTGGGTCCCACTAACGGTTTCCATCCAAAAATCCGTTAATGGTTGGTGAAACCAAAATTTTGGGATTTTAAGTGGTGTTATAATAAAATTTCGAAATGTTTTGGTGTTATAATCAAAATTGGGTGTTTTTGCAAGTGTTATTTTCAAATTTGGTCATGTTTTTATTGATAAATAATTATGACACAAATTATTAAGAATAATTTATGAATTTGACAAGAACTTATATGGTTATTATTCTTTAATTACAAACAAAAAAAGACCATACTAAAAGGATGTGAATATTGAGAAAGTATTTTGGACATTTATGATGTAACATTGTAAATTTGTAATCTCTTATTAACTTACCCTTCACTTTTACAAACAAGGGGTATCCGGTTTTTTTTTTTTTACTTATCATTATCTCACTTATCAAATCAAGAATAATAAATGTCATACATGTTCTAAAATAATTTATCGCTAACTATATAAAATTAGCTTAACTAAATTACACACATAACAATAATTAAATGATAGACAATATATGCAGAATACTCGATCTCTATCATGAGATTGAATCAATGTTTAGGTGCAATAACGCAAGCAAATACTTTTGTTAAAGAATTACTTCATTTGATTTCTATATTGCCTGCACAAATTCATGCATATAATTCATTGTCTACATCACCACATGCATCACGTTATAGTAAATATTGATGATACTATTGACTCTTAGAAATATTAGTACAATAGTATCTGTCTCTAGTCGATTTCAAATTAATGATGTCTGATCTACGTAACTAACTAACGTTAATAATTGAAAAATAAAATTAATACAAAAAAATAAAAATAAAGAAAGAAAGAAGATCTACGTAAACTAAGGTAAGGAATGAAATCAACAAAATTAAATGTCAAAAACTAACTACAGTAAAATCTAGAATTTTTGAAAAAACCACCTAATAATAGATGTTGTAAGAAACTATCCAATAAATTAGTGGCGGATTTTGACGACTTTATTTTGAGGGGCCGAAATAAAGTTCAATTCCTAAACTTTCTTTGATTTTATACTGTTCACATATTACCTTGACGTACATATTGTTTTTACTAATATATATAAATGTTATCAATATATTATGTTGTTGGATTATTTATAACTTTTTTAAAAAAAAATATTAATTAATAATTATTACTAGTCGTAATACCCAATTAAAGATAATGATAGTCAAAGTTGTGTCTTGGCACATGTGTAACAAAGGAATTACTACTAAACAATAAGCTGATACATAGAATGCCATTAAATATTTAGAAATGCAAGTATTTTTAATTGTTTGTATGTATACTCGTACTAATTTTATAACACAGATTTTTATATAAGTAACTCCTATAAGTAACCCCGACCACACAGAAAAAGCACCGATTTTATAAAAGAGAAAGAATATAGAATTTGATGTAATTGTCTGACAAGTTTCATTGAAGACACTAACTAGTAAAGTAGTCTAAGTAGATAATAGATAAATTTTGGATCAAAATCTAAGGGGGGTCAAGCCCAGCCTTGCCCCTTAGAAGATCTGCCAGTGAATAAATGGTAAAATAATGTTCAAAATACTATCACTAGCCGATTTTCAATTTTTGATGACCTAATTTCTGGAATTGTCCCACCTCAAACACCCTTGAAACCACCCGTTTCATCTCCAAAACCAACAAAACCCGCTTGAAACTGCCTCCACAATGTCGAAACTACCCTCTAGCCCCCAAACCACCACCTCTTACCCCGTATACCACCATTCCCTCATTAGGTCAATGCCAAAAAATTGCTCAACGATGGTAATCCGGCTAGCTAGAGACAGTCTTTTGCAGCATTTTACGTTTTATTAGGTATTTCTCACAAATTTTAGGTTTAATTAGGTAGTTTCTGACAAAAAATCCTATTAAAAATTGTTTGCTAAATTTATACTAAATATGTTAATTTATTAGTATTTCTCATTTGTTTTTTAGTATTGTCATTATTGCATATCTTTGGGCTTTGGCTAACAATATATTTAGCTTTGATAGATATTATATTATGATAATATTTGTCATAGCTTAGATTTAGGATATATTTTGTATCCTTTTGTAGTAGGTTTCGTAACCTGATTAGAACTACGTAAACATTAAATATATTGATCAATAGTACACACTCCAAATTGAGGAGTTTTCAAGCTTGACACCTACAATTTAAAATAATAAAATAAAAAAATGTATTTATATATCAAGATAAATCTAACAAGCTCTCATTATATATATATATATATATATATATATATATATATATATATATATATATATATATTTATATATATATATATATATTCTAATTTAAATTTCTCTAATCAATTTAATTGTCAATCACCTTTGCAAAACTTTCAACTTATTACTATATAACCCTTAAGATAAAAAAAATTACTTTTTATGATATACCATCTATAAGATTCGTATTGATGTATACTTTTGAATTTGACATTTTTAATGTTTTAACTACGAAATTAAACATATTTAATGATAAGGAAAGCTAATTGAACCTATACCAAGGTTTAGAAGATCTATATCCTATTCGTTAGACTATGCATGGATGCTTTAGGTTCCGATTTTTTTTTTCGCATTTTTACTTTAACACATTATTTGTATTGGAAAAACATACGTAAGATGGGACAAGTTAAACTGCATATTCAACTTCGTAATGCACTAATTAATACTCCCTCTATTCCTAGATAATTCACACGTTTGACTTTTTTTTCATTATTCATATACTAACTTTGACCCTCGTTTTTTAGTAACATATAAAACACAAATTGTATCATGAAATATATTATTAAATATGTATTAATATTAAGCTTCGTGATATCAAGTTTTTATTTAGTTGATTCGTTCAATTTAGGCACTGATAGAGGGTTTTAACACGTCATTAAATGCTTAAATCCCTATCAACAAAATTTGTAAACACTCAACTAACCCTAATAAGAGTATAGAGGTAAGTCAAGAGTGATCCATGAGGAATGGGAGAGAGGTTACAAGAGCCTAAGGTCAAGCTACTTTGAAGCAAGAAAGGTGTTGAGTGTGGAAGCTATGGTATTAAAACAACTAAATCACTAAAGAAATTAAATATCAAAAGTATTAGGGATTAGGATCCATAAGATAGAGATGCTAATTGAGAGGAATCGATCAACCAAATAACGTTGCAAGGGAAAATAGTAATCGCAATCGAAAGAACTCAAAAGATTATCTCCTAGAAGTCAAGCTAGGTTTCCTCTATGAATGGCTAACAAGAAGAATCACAATTCAAATTCAATCAACAAATGCAATCCATAAATCAAGTAGTCATCTCATTAAGAATCACAGTGCAATCTAGCTTGAAAATCAATGTTAGCTACTCCTATCAATCCAAACACATGCACAATTCTATCAACCAATTAATTACAACATTCAATCAATCAAATTCCTTCAATTAGCAATGATCCATCATTCATGCATGCTTCACCATCACCCTAGCAAAACAAACTTATCACTAATCATTGTGAATTGAAGAAGCAAAACTAAGCTAATCACCATTAACATCATCATAATTGCAATGCAAACTAATCAAGATCAAATCAACCAACAAACTTGAAATTGCAACAACTAACAAAATCAAAAGCAAAGAGATTGAATTAAGAAGAAGAAGAACCTTAAAAACTTTTATCAAGTTTAAGAAATTGTGCTTGCATTCAAAGTAGAAGAAGATCAAAAGTAGAAATCACCAATTTCTCTCTCTAAAATCTAATATAAAATTATGGAAATTGAAGTCTAACTCTAGTTGTTCATCAAAAATAGAAGGACATAACTATGTATAGTATAACTAATTAGGGAGGAATAAGGAAGAATTCCAAAAATAGACCCGTCCGGGCGCGCCCTCTCACGAGTAAGCGCGCCCGTGACGATCTGGGTACGGAGTAGGAAACCCAGGTGGTGCGCCCGCACGGAGGAGAAGCGTGCCCGCGCTGGTGGGATTCGCGCACACGCCACTGGAGCAGGGGACTTTCCTTGTGCGCTCGTGATGTAGGTGGTGCGCTCCTCTTGATCGTCACTAGATATGGCAGTCCCGAAATGGAGTTACGGTGGGTTCAACACCATATTTTCATGCGAGCGCAATCACCAAATCTTGAAGCTAGCCACTCCTTGCCTTTTGAGCTAATTAAAAGCTTCTACCTTGCACTTTGAGCATCCTCCAACCCGAGAAATCATCATGAGGGGTCTCGGGATTCACCTTATACCTACAAACAAGGAAAGCAGAACAAATAAAAGAGAAAACACAATAAAATCTACAAAAGTAGAAGAAAAGGTAAAATAACCAAGAAAAAGATAAACTAGAGAGTAAAAGGTCAAAACTAAGAGAAAAGATAGAAAGAAAGCTATAAAAGCCATAAAAAAAAACATTCTAAAACAACACCATTTGAGTTCCATAAATGACACTCATCAAATTCCCCCAACCTAAACTTTTGCTCGTCCTCAAGCAAAATAAAAGCAAGTAAGGAAAATGAATGGCTTATTCAAATAAAGAAAAGAGAGAAAAGGGGATTGGAATATACACTAACTCACTATCGTAGGAATCACGATTGTTTTTAGCTACAACAAGCCCTTAAAACCCCGTCCCAAAGTCGCCAATGAGGATGAGTGAGGTCTCGTAAGGGTTTCCAAAAGAGCTTAACCCATAACTCTCAAAACAAAAATGAGGCAAAGCATGAAAATTAAATGAAAAAGAAGTAAAAGGAAAAGCACATGCTAATGAAATGGACTTTTGCAAATGACCAAGCACAAATGGATGCAAAACTTCCTAAACAAATAAGGGAATGCACGTTCCAAAATATCCAAGCTTGGTGAAACATAAAATATGCTAAGCATAGAGAACTAATGAAACACAATTCACCTTTATCCCAAACAACCTTACTGCGCTCTCCCTACTAGTTTCAAATCCACCTCTAGTGAGCATCTCAATGATTCCTCGAAGGAACCGGAAAAGAAGAGATTTTAGGGCTACCCAATATCTAGACTATGCAAACCCGCTCCATAGGCTTGACTCTTATCTCCCTCCACCGACTTGTGACTCAACCATAAAGGTCAAAAGGTCTTGAAGGGTTGTAATGTAAGGGCGGAAAGGATAAAGGTAGGCTAAAATTTGAAATTTGGTGGTATACCTAATTTGTGAAGCAAGGGTGATTAATCCTCAACACCATAATCAAGTTATTACCAAAACTCAAACAAAAATACCAACACCCCCAAACTTATTCAAAGAAAAATCACAAACATATATACAAAAAGCGTAGACACGCTTCCCCCCAAGCCTAAATGAAGCATTGTCATCAATGTTTTAAATTAGGGAGATCACACCTACATCAAAATATTTTTGTGCTTTTCATTTTCCTCTTTTTTTAATGCATATGCTTTTGCTTTCTTTCTTCTTTTTATACTTTACTTCTTTGTCCTCGCCTCTTGTAACTATGGACGGCATTTTCAACTTGCAATTGCCTTTATTCACACACTATATACAACACATGCTTGCTAATCAAATGAACCAAATATCCATACTTTAAATCCAATAATCACCAACAAACTAAGGACCATAACCTTCACAAAAATCAAAGATGGAAACAAAAATGAAACAAATGGCTAGAGAGTTAGAAATTTGGCTAGAAATGAAGGTATAGGGCTCAAATGGTTAGCAAGTAGGCAAATGTAAACCCAAAAACCAAAAATATATGAACGAAACCTAGAAAAAGAAAAATAACCACCCCGTAAAGATGTCTTTGTCCTTCCCAAATGGTTCAATCGCGATCTCAGGATAAGTCAAGTTCTAGATAAAGTAAGCGATAGTTAAGGATCCATGTGCCGCTCAAGAAAAGTAGGTTGAAGGCTAGAAGAAAGAACCTCACATAGTTGTAGCAAAAACTCACTATAAGCTTCAAATCAACTATAGGAAGCAACACCTTCTTACCACAAGCAAGTAGACTAGAGCTTCAAGATCCCAAAAGTTCTAAACACACAACCTTAGCATAGACTATCCTAGAATCAACCGAGCATACTCTCAAAACGTGCTTACCGTTAACATTTAGGAAGACATACATTCAAATATACAAGTCCAAATGGTATTATGTCCAAAACAAAAGCAATTATAACATGAAACACAAAACTTAGCCTCAAACAAAAATCTTTTGGAATTTTCATATTCAACAAAAAATAAAGAAAGAAAGGAAAAGAAAATGAAATGAAGAGTTTAAAGGTGCATGCAAGATCATATATATATATATATATATATATCCTAATCGACTAACAAGTGGTCATTCGACTACAACACCAATGGCCCCAAACACCCTCAAGGTGTTGAAAGCAAAAATTCTCGAACCGTTCAACTCTTCCTAATCAAAACCTACCTAAACTATACAAACAAGAAATAAAATAAGAGGGACAATAGAAATATCTCACCGAGCGGTACAAGCTAAGCTAAGAGAAGAAGCATAAAGAAGTTTATGTTGGGTTTTGCGGTGTAAGACACCACGTGGAAACAAAACCCGCAAAGGATCGCATGCATAATTAATACAACTAAACAACCTAACATGCATTTATTAAAAGCAATAAACACATAAACACATAAAGAGGGAGAGAGAGAAAGTAAGGAAAAGATTTCCTTACCCTTGAAGCGTGCTTCTTACGAACCCCGAGCACGAACACGAAAAGCTCTAGACACGTAAGTGCAAATCCTCCTTCTTTGAACACCCACGTGCCCGAATGGGTCCCTACTTCGTAGCTTAGACAAGGCTAGACCAAAAGAAACTAGAGTATTACGAACTTAAAGGCTTTCTCACGTATTTGGGAGATACCTTATTGAGTTCAACTCAAGTAAATAATCCCAACTACTCCCAAGGTTGGTATTTATAGGCAAAGGCTCCCAAAAACTTAAATCATCTTTCCATGTGGGAGAAATGATAAGTGAGAAAAAGTAAGAAATTAATTTAATTCTAAATTAAATTAAATAGCATAAACAATAAGCAATTGACAAGTGGCAATGCAAGGGAGAGGTTAGGTAAAGACCACAAACCCTCTCCTTAAGGAGCAAGCAAAACCGACAACTCACCCTTGGTCAACACAAGGATGACCTACCTCAAGGCTTGGGCTCCAAGGCACGCCTAGCTGGCGGCCTTGCCCTTGGCTGGGCCTGCTAGTACACCGCAAGCCCACGCGAGATGAGGACACTAGCGGGCTGCCGCTAGGCCTGCTTGCGTGCTTGCGGGCTGATGCTAGCGCTGCTAGCTCGCCCAACATAGCCATGCTTACAAGGCCATGCATTGCCCACAGCTAGCTAGCTCGGCTTGCATGTCCGGCCAGTACACATGCGTGGCTGCTGGGCTTGCGGACGAGGCTAATGCATGGCTAGCAGCCTTGCTAGCTTATGTTAGCTAGTCCTCGATTGGCTAGGCCAATCCGAGGCCGGTCTGTGCGCGATGACTTGTCATTTGACTTATTTTCTCGTCTTCTCAATTCGTTGAATCTTCTTTACGTTCGACACTCTAAGCTCGGAATCCGACGTCCGAGTTCGTAAAATCTCTATCGACTCATTTAATCCTTCAAATTAATTCGCCGCCTTTGATTCAGTTATACGATTGGGTGTGACCTGAAGGGTTTAGTCAAGAGCAAGCTGTAATATTAATTGTACATTACTATTACTGATCGGAAGCGGCCTCCAGCTAGGCATTCCAATCACTTGACCTCACTAAATAATTAGTAATCCTAATTATTTCCGAACCCTCTATCGGAATAATACATTTGTTCGAAGGACATCATTCCTTTCAATCTCCCACTTATCCTTCCGAACAAGTGTGATGTATGTGTATAGCCTTTTCCTATGTCACTTAATGCCTCTTCATGAACTATAAAATAAGATTTATCGTCATCCTTATTACGTCTAAAAGTGTTCCTCGATTTCCGAGTTTGACTATCAAGAAAAGATGATTTCTAAAATCCATCTGAGCACGGCCATGCATTTTCACAGTCTCGCTCTTCAAGAGGCCTTGTAAACAACAAAGACATGTTCCTTACTGTTAATAGGAGGACATTCACAGTCTTGCATTATTAGCTTCCCTTACTAAGAGACCCTAGCCACCTGAGTGTTGCCTTTATAATCCCTTTGTACGGCAGATGTTTGACAACATCAAAACGGTCTAGTACTCAAATAAGAGAACTTACAATATTCATGGTTGAGGAAAGAGGTTCCGGTAGCCATAATGAGTATTCTCATAGGTCGATCTGGTATAGTTCCAAACTAATACCTGTGCAAATGATTTATGAAAATCTTGTCCTTGTAGCATAAGAAACGGTGATATAAATCATACTACACACTAATCTCCCGCGGTCATTAGTCGTCCAACTTTTAAATAACCTCGATTAGGGATAGTTTCGATATGATATTCAATATTCACTTAATAGGTGTTTCTTTATCCAAGACATTGTCTTGATACCCTATTTTGAATATCATCATATCGAATGGGCTCATTATTTAATTCTAAACCACAATTTAATAGTTTGTGGAATTATTAGTAAAAAATTTATTCCAATATGAAACTTTTCAACATTTCATCTTATGATAAATGGTTTTCCCCAAATGTTTAAGAGTAATACTCTTCACAAAACATTTATAGAAATAACACCCATATCTAATATGCTTGTTTTTTTTTTTTTTTTTTTTGAAACGGTAATTAAAAATTCCATTAAAAAACGAACAAAACATACAAAACAATTGTCCAAGCAAGCATAAGGGGGGTGCAAAAGCATCATGGATGACCACCCTTTCCACCTTCTAGGAAGGGTTCAAGGGACCATCAAATCCTCTGCAGCACCCACCTATAGACATTAACTAAGCAACCTCAACATCCAAGCTTTGTTTCTATCGCTGACTCTCCTAGGCATTACCCCAACAATCCTAAGCATACACAAATTCTTAATATGCTTTACAACAATTTTAGGGTGACACATCTTAGCATTTTCCACATTACATCATTCCGTTGCGCCCAAATATAATACACTAGAGCACAAAAGCAACTCCTGATCACGCAGCTCTTAAATCTACCAACTAGAGGCTTCTTCATCCAACCCGCCAACTGATCTAGGGAAGAAAATTGTTGTTGCAAGCCTAGCTCCTCACACAGCAACCTGCTGCATTCAGCAGAATAATCGCAAGCGAAAAAAAGATGAGCACCTGTCTCTGGCTCCTTGTTGTAAAGAAGGCATCGATCATCACTAATCCTACCAAACCTTTTTAGCCTATCTCTTGTATTCACTCTATTCCACATAGCAATCCAAGTAATGAAACTCATTTTAGGAATGTTAAGCCTATTCCAGATCCACGAGCTCCATTCCACCTCCGACTTGTGATCCCTCAACCACTCATACCCAGCCGCAGCATTATAGACATTCTTACCAAATTTCCATTGGTTATGGTCATAGCCTCCTCTGAAAGTATCCATAATCTTACACAATTACTTCCAATACCAGCTTGCACTTGGAGGAACACTGTAACTTTTCCAATCTCTACCTCTCAGATACACATGATTCACCCATTTGACCCACATATTATCCTCTTTAGAAGCAATGCTCCACACATATTTCCCCAACATAGCAATGTTCCAAGTATGACTCTCTTTAAAACCCAGACCACCCTCTCTCTTAGGTCTGCAAACCAGATCCCATGCAATGGGAGGACTTTTAGTAGAGAAGGGTTCACCTGACCACAAGAAATTCCTACACATAGTTGTAACTTGATCAATAACTTTCTTTGGTAGGAAGAACATGGAGGCCCAGTAGCTATGGAGATTAAGCAGAACAGTATTGACAAGCTGAGCCCTACTAGCATAAGATAAGTGTCTAGCACCCCAGGATTTAATCCTAGCAACAATTTTATCCACCATGAAGTCACAATCATTAGCGCTCATCTTCTTAGCATTGATTCTCACTCCCAGGTATCTAAAAGGAAGACTCTCCTCAACAAAACCAGTGCATCTAAGAATTTCCTCCTTAACCTCCTCATTCATATTACAAGTATACAAAGCAGATTTACCGTTATTAGCAACCAAACCAGAGGCTTGAGCAAAAGTGGTAAGAGCTCTCATATTAAGCATGACAGAATATTTCTCTCCTCTAAAAAACAAGATCAAATCATCAGCAAATACCAGGTGATTTAACTTCAGAGAGGAGCACCTATAGTGGAATTTATAGCCTTCCTGATTCCCAGCATAATGCAACAGCCTAGACAGGTACTCCATGCAAATAACAAACAAAAGTGGAGACATAGGGTCACCCTGTCTGAGTCCCTGCTTCCCCTTGAAAAAGCCATGATTCTGCCCATTAACAAACAAAGTGAAAGACGGAGTAGTGACACATGCCATAATCCAAGAGATAAATTGATCGGGAAAGTGAAGACTCTCTAACATTTCCTTGAGGAAATCCCATTGAACAAAGTCATAAGCTTTCCTGATATCAATTTTTAACAAACATCTAGGGGGGAGGATTTTCTATTGTACATACCTACAATGTCTTGAATGATGCTGACATTGTGCACAATTTGCCTACCTTGAATGAAACGAGATTGAATAGGAGAAATTAGACCAAGAAGGACTAACTTCAGCCTATTGCATATAATTTTGGTGATGCATTTATACAAGGTATTACAACAGGCAATAGGTCTAAATTATGCGACACAAGTAGGATGATTAACCTTAGGAATTACAGTGAGCCTAGTACAATTTACTTCCTTTAGCATCTTACCATGTTCAAAGAAATCTCTAATAGCTTCACATACCTCAAGGCCAACGATATGCCAAGATTTTGTGAAAAAAGTTGAATTATACCCATCCGGCCCAGGAGCCTTGGTGCCAGGAATGGAGAACATAGCCTGCTTGATCTCTTTATCTGTCAATAATCTCTTGCTGCACAGGAGTTCTCTGTGCTCCAGCAGTCCCTAACAACTGGATATAATACTGCTTAAACGCCTGAGCAATACTCCTTGGACAACTCCTCGTCACACCCTCCGCATCTTTTCTTTCCAAAACCCGCTGCCTATATTGCCTGGCTTAGATCACCTTGTGAAAATATTGGGTGTTTTCATCTCCAGCTTTCAACCAATGCGCCTTTGCCCTTTGCGCCAAGTAACTAACATAAGCTTTCTTGGTTATAGTGTATCTCTGAGCAACCTCATACTCATATTGACTAACCATGGGATCAGCAGGAAAATTGTGCATAACCTCTTGGATGCTATTCAGCTCAGCGTTAACCTGCATAAATTGTTCTTCTATCTGATCAAAATACCTCTTTTGCAAGCTTTTTAAACCATTTTTAATCTGTTTCATCTTCTTAACCACCTTATACATGGGCACTCCTCGAATATCACTACTCCAACCATTCTCAACTGTTCTATAAAACAAGGGGTGATCTGCCCAATAATCAAGAAATTTAAACCCAGCCTTACCTTCAATTCTCTGATTATCCAAGTGAACAACCACAGGGCAATGATCAAAGGCTCCTTCTGGATGGAAGTGAGCATAAGCACTAGGGAAGTCCCTGACCCAATCTGCATTGACAAGGCATCTATCCAACTTGCTAAGCACCCTTTTGGAACCATATTGCTTGTTATTCCATGTAAATCTCGGACCAATAGAGCTCATATCAACCACCTCACAGTTAATAGTGGCATGCTGAAAGTCTCTGATCTCCGCAGGAGAGACCTCTCTTCCAATTCTGTCCTCCAAATAAAGAGGAGAGTTGAAGTCCCCAGTAACAATCCAAGGACCTTTCACACTCCTATGCAAATCACACAAGTCATTCCACAAAGGTTTCCTACTCTCATTGTCATTAAAAGCATAAACGACCGTGATAGTGAAGTCCCTCTTCATAGCCACATTCTTAACATACAGATGCACACATTGCGCTGACACATACAAAATATCAACGATGAAATTACTATCAAGCCAGGCTACCAATATTCTACCCCCTTTATGAAGGTGGAAATTAGTAGATATACTCCAATTCTGCATACCAATATGCTTGATTTCTTTTGTGCAATTGTGAATGTTGTGGTTCACTTATTGAATAGGTTTAGATATTAATACTTTGCAAATCTTAGCATCTTCTTATTGAACACTTTCATAATAAGATGATAAAATTTGAGTGTGTTATGGATTACATGTGATCTAGGATTTATTGCCCAAGTGATGGCTCCCACTCATTTTCATGATTTGAGACCTTCAACTTGGCAACCAATAATCATCAAAGTTCAACAACGAACAATCCATTGAACAACATCCCTTTTATTGCCTTTAATGCAATAATGTTCTGAACATATATTTTAGTAGATTTTCTAATGATGCTTTGCTTGGATTTTACTCAAACCAGTTCACAATGATTTGGGATCATTTGTGATTATAGAATTTTACCTTAAATTTTCGCACAATACGCATGGACATAAGTCCATGTTGCATTCTCAAGCCACGACGCTTCAAACCTCATGCTTATAAATGGCTTCCTCATTAAGGATCTAATCCTTGTTAAGGTTGTGCTCGCAACATCAATACTCAAATTATATTTGTTTCCATGTATCAAAAACTCATCCTTTTACTTAACCAAGCACTTTGGATGTTCTTCATCATAATCTAACATTCCGTTATTTAGATTCAAGTCGATTGGTACTTTATGCTTGTCATGCTCTAAGCATGCAAGTCATGTGACGATTTCATGTCGTAAGCATACATGATGGATTCAATTGCAGAACTATTCCCATTTCATCCTATTCATGTGACTTTTAGCTTATCCAGTTCCACTGAGTCTTGCTAAACTATTTGATATATGATACGGTTGAAAGTCTCTACTAAAGTCTTTCTTGTTTGACTTAGTATTTTCCTAGCTTATACTTAGTTCAAACATTTGCTTAGTTTTAAATATATGGGTCGAAAGCCTTTTCAAGTCGTTCATGTTTAACACGGTAAATTCCTTTACCAATTCAGACATTTCATTAAGTCTATTCAATAGATCTTAATTCTCACTATGTACTAAGTGTCGTCTTAGTTTGGTCCATTATTGAAAAATTCTTTCAAATCTAAGCATTTAGCATTTGAAAGTTATTTAACAATGAGTTCTTAAACTTCTTATTGGACCTTAAAAAATTGACTTTAGCTCCCACTAAACTTCTTTATTCAAAAAATTTCCATGTTTCTCAACAAGCCAAATCTTATATTAATTTTATGAGAAAACCCATTCCAATTCCTACTTGTTTCCCTCAAGCTACCAATTGATATCTTGAGCTTTCTTTCAAATCTAGCATTATTTAGATTTACAAAACCCTTAGACTATATCCATAGTCTCTTCAAAAATACCATTTTTAGGAAGGCGGTTTCGATATCTATTTTTCCATATTTAGAATAATCACGAAAAGACTTAAGCATTCCGATTAGTGAATAGGTTTTATTAAATCAACGTCATGAATTTAATTGTAACCTTTTCAACCAATCTAGCTATGTATGCATATACATTTCCATATTTGTTAGTTTTCTCCTTGAAAACTTATTTGCAATTGATGGGTCTTTACCCTTCATGCAAATTAATCAAGTTACAAACATGATTTTCAAACATGGAGTCTGTTTCAGATTTTATGGCCTCTAACCATTTCCGAAATTCGGATTTGTCGTAGCTATCTTATAAGACACTATTCCCTTACTATCCAATAGTAAATAGTATGCTTGTAAGTCTTAGGTTCATTTCTAACTTAATAGGAACTTTACAGGATTCAATCTAAGGCTTTTAGTGAATTCTATATCTAAATGGGGTAATTGCATCAAACACCGAGTTTCAAGGCGCTTCTAAAGCCTTTTGATTGTTTTGATACTACTCCAACACTTTTAAAGTTTTTTAAGTAATGAATTCTCTTTAAGGCACTTGTAAAGTCCTTTGAGTATTCTTGATCAATGATTCTCATGAAGCCTTTCTAAGGTCTTCTGAGATTCTTAGTTCTGGTTTGTTGCTCGTCTCGATGGTTATCGAGTTCATTTTCCTCCCACTTGTCGTTTTGGAAATGTGTTACTTTCCAGAAAGACATCACTTAGAGCAACAAGTACTATGTTCTCAATTTTGGTATTGGAAGTAGTGCCCTTAGTCTCACTTGACTGCTTACAAAGAGACTTGTATATTGGCTTTGGGTAAAAGTTCGTTGTGAAACAAACAGTTAGCTCCCACTTGAGCTACCTTATCCCTTATTGAGCCACTTAGCTCCCACTGAGCCAATAAGCTCCCACTGAGGCTAAGAGCCCTAGACATAAACTTGAAAAGATTGTAGAAACTATTTCTATACATAACTGAGTATGGTGTCTTTTCTTAGCTTCGACAATTTTGTTTAATGTAACAGTAGTCATTTGTGCATATCTCTAAGAACGTTATAGGAAAGGATGTGATTCATCATCGTTCGATTCATTTCAAAATGGCTTTGAGGTCTCCGTCAAGATATACTATATTTTTTGTGGAGCTAATTATGGAATTCCAATTTCATAACCTTGAGATGATCACTCTTGGCTCAAGCAAACTCGGTCTAATCTAGACTTTTTGATATCTCGCCAAGTCAATTCTATACTTCACTGAACTTTTGAGCTATTTAAGATCCAGTTTGTTCACATTTGATGAATATAGCCATGTTCTTTCATATTCTTGTGAAAACGTTGAAGTAATGGAATTTTCTTTTATCTTTCGGAGTCAATTGTCTATACCAAGCACAATAGCTCCTTTGTTTGTCGGTTTCAAAAAGTAAGACTTCCTTGCCTTAGTACGATTTCGAATTGATCAACTTTCAAGAGTCTATCTAATAGAGCCTTGAGTATATTCTTGTTGATGTGACATTGCTAAAGATAGATGGAACACAAATCATGTACATGACTTGAACCTTCTAAGTTTATGTTAGGGAAATGTTTGTTTATAATCAAGCATTCTTGACTCATGCTTAAACAACCATTCCATTCAAATAAAACCAACAACTATTGTTCTTTTACTTTGAATGTGAGTATTTCCGTGTGTAAACAAAACGTTTGCTGATTATGGAACATAATAACCATTATTTGTTCAAGCCTTAGCTTTAAAAGATCCTTAAAACAAAACAGATGACCTTACAGCTGATGTAGCACCACTTGCTTTTTCCAAGCTCGTAATTCAATAACTTAGCTTAACTTCATTTGTTTTAAGGTCACTTCAGAAGTGGAACTCTCAAACAGTGTCTAATACTTGTGAAGATAAGTTGCTAAGTTTAACTATGATAACATGAACTCTTATGTAGAACTTAAATCTTGAATTCCCTTTCTTTGTTCCTTGTTTCCTATATTTCTTATCATACATCATCTCATAACTTTAAGAACCTTTTATTTAAGTATCTTGACTTTTACACTTTGTTAGGCATAATTAAACATCTAATTCGCCGTAAAACAAATTTCTTTTCTTTTGATTCGTGCTTGAATTATTACATTAATGAGTCCTACTCATTAGTGTATAAAGCGAAAAGATATGTCGGTTGTCAACTATTGACAAATTGAGTTTTCAACTCAATAATTCATGTTTATCAAAACTACGTAGTATTTTGAATACATGATGTCCAACCATCCTTTCGAACTTAGCCGTAAAAGTCATTTATAAGAAGTTGTATCTTAGAAATGCGCTTTCATTCTTTGAGAACCATTCTCAAAAGATTTCCTTTTACCAATCGTTGGAAACAATATAATTCGATTTAGAATTCTAAAAATATAAGTGCAAAGTATAACCATTTATCAAGATAAAAAATTAAGCATTGAAATACATGAAAAGTAGCATTTTCAATTAACTTATTAACGTTTTATTCACACATTCATAAGTTTGTCCCATTTAGGCGAGAATAAAACAATTCCAAGATCTTAAAAATCAATAAGTGATTAAGTATGCTTTGGCTTGTCTTAACACTTAAATTTTAAGGTAATCAATCTAATTGCTAATAGCTCTAAGCTAATTTTGGTTTGATAAATCATCGCATCCAATGCTTCCTTGACGATTATCTCCTTTGCCACGACATCATAAAACTAACGTGTATACAATGTCTTGCTTTAGCAAGCCCACCAACATACCTTACTTCCCTAGGAAAGTAGTAATGCCTTGCTTTGGCATAGCCCATTACTATTCTCAATAGTTCCATTAGTGTCATTTTGGAATAGAAATTTTAACTCAGTATTATTTGGGACTTAGGGTTTCTATGTTGGTTGATTTAAGTGAACTAAATTAATCATTCAACATTCGAAATTCTAAACATACATCTAATATCGCAATTATATATAAGCAAATATATAAAAGATAATTAAAGACGTATGGCAAACTAGCATGACCCCTTGAAACTCGAAGCATCCAATCTTCAAGGTCACCATCGCATCTTTTGGCTTCGTCTTCTTAGAAACGCCGTCTTTAGACTTCACCTTCAAGCATGCAACTACTAGTAACTAGGACTAATCTGAATAATCTAAGTACAAAAATACTTAGCGTCATGCAGTCCGTATTTAGATTGACAAAAATATGTAACGGAATGTAGTCCGTATTTACTATCCTAGTCAGGTCATACTAGCTAGTTGCCTTTTGTAAAAACCTGCATAAGAACATTTATAATATTCCATTCACCCATTCACTTCTAAAGTGAATGGCCCATGCATTTTTACAAACAACACAAGCAGCAATACAAAACATAGTATCAAACGAGCGCGTACTAGTTACTAACTTAGGTGGTTAATCCGATTAACACGCCTAATTAAAACTAGTCAAGGGTTTATCCAATTATGTGTACTAACGCAATAACGAAAAGTACAATTAAGGCTTATTCAAGCTCAAAACCGATTAATGAAGCTCCCACTAAATTCCACATCCAACTTAAATTAAATCAATCCAATTAAATATTAATTAAGCCGATCAAGTCAAACTTTTTCAAAATTTTGCAATTACGTGAAAAGCCGAGGCATAGCCTCATTTTAAACAAAATCGCAAAATAAAACGA